AACGGCTCTCAAGGCTAGACTACATTCCTTCCTACAATCTCATAGAAGGGTAAAAGACCATTTTACCCCTCCTTGACCCAAAAGTCCAAATGTTGATCAAAACCCTAAAAGTCAACGAAAGTCAACAGGGCAGTACGCGGCGCGTACCAGCTCTTGTACGCGGGGCGTACTCTTGCAATCCAGAATCGGGGAACGCGACCCCTTACGCGGCGCGTACTGGGATTACGCCCAACGTAAATCCCAGTTTCCTTCTTTCTTCACTTTAGGTCTTAAACAGTTAAGACATAATCTCACATTCCAGATCTGGCCATTCTAATACCACTTAATCCATAAAGTCGAAACCTTTAAGCCCTTGCATGGATGTAAAGGCACCAATCACTTCAAACATATATCCTCTTTTCCCATTAAGCCCTAATCTCATACATGACTTAATCTCAACGTCCAAGATTGGATTTTTATGAACATACAACTCATATGGTCCTGAAATATGATAGATCTAGGCTTATGGAGACCATTTGCTCATAAAGTCTCCACCTTGGGACCAAAAACCCTAGAAATTGGTCCAAGAAGCACACAACACAAATAACAAGGCAAGTTTTGAGCTTTATACCTCAGGAAGAAGCTCCAACCTCTGTAGAACTCAGATCTACTCTTGTCCACCAACTTCTAGCTCCTACAATGGCCTCCTCTTCTCTTTCACCACCTTGAAATGGCACTTTGAAGCTTAGAACACTCACACACAAGCTAGGAACGAAGGGAGTACTCTCTTAGGGTTTCTTTCTGTGAGATGGTGGCTGAGGGACAAAGCCATCTCATTCCTTTTATAGTCCTCAAGACATATTAGGGTTTTGCACCTGGGCCGGTTACGCCCGGCATAACCATGGGTACGCCCAGAGTACCCGGATGAATCCGCGTCCAAAAATAAGCGCACGAGTACGCGCAACGTACTCCTCACTACGCCCAACGTACTCACAAGCCTAGCATTTCCTTTCTAAGGGCCAAACTTGACAACTTGGAAAAGTAGAAGGGTTAAATGGTTGTACCTGAATTTCGGGATGTTACAACCACTATTTGCTTAAATCTCATCTTGTGAAAGTATACTGTCACTTTTGGTGCATAATGGTGTCATTCTCGGGTTTGAACGTGTCATGAGGATATGGTTTCAGATTTGGACACCTCTAGGCATCCATGGACATAAAGTTGCCCACTTTATCCAGTCTAGGCCCTTTCCATGCCCTAAACCTCTTCCTAAGCTTAGTTTTGAGTGTTTTAGCCTCTTACGGCCTTTCATGCATGTAAAGTTGGAAACTTTACGTGGTAACTACTGTTGGATTAGGTGTCTACGCCCATAACTACAATTGGTATGTACTTAACCCGATAGTAGCATGGTCCTTTTGGGTTGCCTTCACCATAGCAACTTGATAGGATGAATTATGAGAAAGAGGTTGATAAATGATTTATTAATATATTATAAGAATAATATATTGATTGAGAAATCATATTATTTAATTAGTATTGATCAGAAATTAATTTGGAATTAATTTAGTGATTAAAAGAGACTAATTAAATAACTGGGACTGATATTACAAATCACTCATAGTTGCAATTGGGATGATGGATCACCTTGGAATAAGTTTGGATGAAATATATGGGAAGCCCATAGAGAATTTGTCCAAGGACTATTCTAGAAGGTGTCCATGGGATTCTTAATGCTTAAGCAGTCAAATTAGGATTTCACCTGAAGCCCTAGTAGCCACAAGTATAAATAGACCCCATGGCTTACAGATTTCGGCCCCCTACGCTTCTAAGAGAACCCTAGCCGATTTCAATAAGCCTCCATCCTCTCTCTTGTGTTCATCCATTGCTTGTGGTGTTTGTGACTCCATTAGAGGTGCAACAATTGAGGCACTAAGCTCTTGAAGGTCAAGATCAACCAATCAACAAGGTATTCTTCTAACTTTGGTTTAGTTATTGATTTCGAAAATATGTATGCTAGATTAGGGTTTTGCTTTGGAAAATTATTATGCATGTATAACTTGAGAAAAACCTAGATCCAAAGCAATTAGGGTTGTATGTGCACCATAGGAATGTTGTAATGCTCATAACCCATCAGTTGTATCAGAGCTTAGGGTGTTTTTCTGTTATATTTGATGCATTTTTCATTTGTTCAAAGCTAGGAAAAAATCATTTTTGTCTCTGCCTGATGAACACGACGTGTTCATAGATGACCACGGCGTGTTGGTCTTCCGCGACGTGTTATGGCATGACACAACGTGGAGACCAGTCAGTTGGCAGATTTTCGAATTTTTTGGCCTAAATTAGATTTGGATAATTACCATAAGTTGTTTTTACTAATTAAATTCAAATTTTCTGATATGGTAATGGATATCCTCATCTAATTAAAAGGTAATTGTCAAATTTTAAGATAATTATGAGATTTTGTGATATATTAATTATTTGTAAAATTTGATTTGAATTTTTTTACCAAGTAAAATAGATAAGGTCAAATTTATAATAAAGATAAATTATATGATTAATTTAATTGTATAAAAATTTGATCTAGAAGTTTTGAATAGTTTCAATACTTGCCCTCAAGTTTTGGAATTTAAATTTTGATTAAAAGTTTTAATTTTGAAATATTAAATTTTAAAACCCTAATGTTTTAAAAGTTTAAAATACAACCCTTATACTAGTATAATATTAAAAGTTTAATATATATATATATATATATATATATATATATATATATATATATATATATATATAAGAGGAGTCAGTATTACCGTTAGTAGGCCTCATTCACAAAGCCGATCTCTAAGGGGGTATAAGGAAACTGCCTATAAAATGGCGGTTGAATGGTTGTCCACTATCACTCACCGCTTCCTTGATTGGTGGAGGGTCGTTAGCCGAATGGGTAGGATAGGATATTAATTCCTCATTAATAAGTATAATGAATATTTTAAAGTAACTAAATGTTTTTAGAAATTCCCAATCTTAGTTACTTTAGGAAAAATGTGAAAATGATGCTATCCCATGATATTGCACTTTCCACCTTGCCAAGTCGTTAGTGGAGCGTGTGTGATTGACCGGCACACTAACTTGGACTAGCAAGGGTGGCGAAGGGTTGCTCGAGAATTATCATAGATCAATGGAGCGTGTGTGGTTAACCGGCACATTGATTAGATGGTAAATGACTCGAGAGTGCCAAGCTAATTTGCATGGTTATTCACACCTTGTTTGTGATCCTCTGTATCCCGGTCACAAGCTTGAAGGGCATAATAGAGATTAAACATGCCATTGAAAAGTTCAATGAATCTCAAAAGAATCTAGGAATTTCATTTTCATTTAAAACCTAATTGTTCATTTCATTTTTCGTGGTGGAATTGGTAAATCGTCATTTACCTACCTTCATATAATTTTCAATCAGCATCCCTCTTCCGAATTGTGAATTATAGTGTTGGGTCATAGCCTTAATATTTCATTTCGGTGTTATATTAAGGATATCTTATCTAATCTAAACTTTGTTACTTTTCTTTTTCAGATGTTTGGCTCAAACAACGCTTCTAGCTCAAACTCCTCAAGCTCCTTTTCTCTTATGAATATTTGTGGGAGGGTCACCTTCGATGGGTCCAATTTTAATGATTGGATCCGCAACATTCACATGGCCCTTCGATACGAGGAGAAAGAATACTTCCTCAATGAAAAACTCAAAGAGATAGATGAAACCAAAGCTTCTGCTGAAGAAATAGCTGAGTATAGGGTTCACGAAAAAGAAGCGACAAAGGTGTCGTGTATAATGATAGCCACTATGAATCCTAAGCTCCAGCGGTTCTACGAGGACTGTTGGCCTTACGAGATGTGCCAAGATTTGATGGAAAAGTACCATCAAAGTGTGCGTCAAGAAATCTACGAGATTGTCGCCTCGTTGATAACAACCAAGATGAAAGATGGAGAGTCCATCACAAGCCACTTGCAAAGAATGCAAAGGTATGTGGATCGATTTACTACAAATAAATTTACATTTAGTGGCACAAGATTTTAGTGGCATATTTTGTTTTGTGCCACTATATTACACTTTTAGTGGCATATATTTATTTGCCGTTATTGAAAATTCTAATTTTCATGTCCCGCTCCTAATTCCCTCCACGGTCATAGGTTTTCCGCTTTTTTTTTGGTGAAATCAAATTGGCACAAAGGAATAGAGAACTCTTTTTTTCCTCACTGCCACTTCTCCAAGCTATCCCTCCTTTCTCTTTAGCCTTATGATTACCAGAGCAACACCGTCTATCTACCTCAATAACAACACCGGAACACCACCTTATTCTTGTATGATTCCCTAATACCACGACTTTATATTCTACCATCGTATCTTATGGGTAAAAGATTTCGGAGGTAAATCATGTATGTATGACTCATCGGAGAGGATATATGGCATATAAAATGTGGTTTATGGCGTATCGGACCTGTAGTTTATGCCATACCAGAGCAGATTTATAGGGTTTATGTTATTCCCCATACGAAGAACACGAATAGCAATCAGGTACACATTCTTGAACTGTTTCACCCTCCTTCAACCGCTCGAGCATCTCCTTTCTCTCACTATCTCTCGAGTTCTTTCTCTATTACGATTGTTGAACCTAACTCGGTTTTGGTATTTACGGATTAGGATTTTGGTGTTTACAGATTGAGTTTTCATGGATCACGATTATAGAACCCTAACACATCACATCTCTCTCTCTCTCTCTCTCTCTCTCTCTCTCTCTCTCTCTCTCTCATCTCGGTTATGGAACCTTTACCCTATTATCTTATGATGGATGGATAATAATTTGGGGAAGAAGAGGAACATGATTAAGGTGATGTTCATGATGGCTTCTTCCTGGTAAGTATGTAACTTCAAAATTGGTTTTCTGAATCGTTTGATTGATGGGTGAAATAGTCGAAAGTAACATTTGTTTTTCTTTTTTGTAGTCGTTTAAATACAATCAAAAGAAATCAAACATATGAATTTTTGTTCCACCGATACGATTGGCCCTAATGATCCTGATATAGATGATGATTTCAAACCCACAAATAAGCTTGACAATTCTCAACGTACCCTAAAAGATATTGTTAAGCTGGTTGGTGGTTGTTGTTGCTAAATTTACCATCAACCTCTATTTTCACTAATTTGTTTCCTTTTGATCTTATTATTACATATGTTAATTGCAATATATAGGATGCGAAGGACAACTATGTTATCATTTACAGGAATCCAGAACAACACTATTGTGTATTCAGCTCATTAGCAGTTGGAGTGTTGAGTGAATATCGTAAGTTCTCAAATCTTTGTAAAGAAAAAAAGAAAAGGGTAAATTCAGAAATATCTATTGTTCATGTAAACTGGCATTTGTAAAGAAAAAGGTTATATTTGGAAATGTGAAGTGGTAGTTTCTTCTACTTCCTTTTCCATTTGGATTGTTGAGGGTATTTTGGTAATTTTGAAGTGATGGTGGGGATTTTTGCAGGCGATCCTTTACACTGTACAAACATTTTGGAAGATCTTGAACTTAAGAGTGTTGTAAAATATTTCAGGTAATAAATACAATTAAACGTGGTAGTTTTGACCCATTTATATATTTTACATCTAATAGTTCAATGAGTCAATTGGGTCAAAGGGTATGTACTCTTGCATTTCATCATATTATGGTTAATTCACATCTATGTAGTTGTAATGTTTTATATTCTATAATTTATCTAATTTTGATCTCCATTTGTTTCCATTACAGCTTATGGATACCAAAGCACACTATTATATATCATCTACAAGTATATCAATGTAATTATGAGGTATTCATTCTTTTACATCTGTAGCTAATTCTGACAAAATGTTTTCTACATTCGCTAAATACTATTACCTTATATTGTTAGTCATTTTTGAACTTTTCATTAACAGGACAAAGGAGTGGAATCTGTAGATCTTATCTCATGTTTTTGAGAGGCTTAGACACTAAATTTTCAAGACCTTTGTATTTGTATTTAAAATATTGAGAATATTGTTTGTTATATAAGTTTGAATTTATATAATGATATTGTAATATCTATTTATTATCTTAATTGTCTTATTATTATTTTCTATTCCATTAAAAAAACCGGATCTAATTTATTAATATATTTTTTTGTTAAAAAAAATGTCACCAAAAGCATTAAAATAGTATTTGTTTATTAGTGAAATAGTGGCATAAAAATAGTGTCACTAAAACCTACAAGTGCTTTAGTGGCATAGTAGAAAAGTGCCACTAAAACCTAATAAGACTGCAGCGGCACAACCAAAAAGCGCCACTAAAGGCCTTTAGTGGCAGCGCTTTTAGTGGCATTTTATTTTTGTGCCGCTGATTGCATAGGGGGCCTTTAGTTGCACTTTTTCGGTTTTTAGTGGCACTTTTTCTATGCCACTAAATGTAATTTTATTTGTAGTGATTGTTCAAGTTGAATGTCATCTTTGACGAAGAGTTGGCGATTGATATCATTCTCCACTCATTGCCTCCCTGTTATGATCAGTTCAAGATGACTTATCATATGAACAAGGATGAAGTCACCTTAAGCAAACTTCAAGGTCTGTTAAGAACTGTTGAAAGTGGACTGAAAGGCAAAGCTGTCGACTCCACCCCTACTGTTGTTGCCCCCTTCCTTGCTATAGGACATGGAAAAGGGAAGAAGAGGAAAGCTCCCCTCTAAGAGCCACAGGGAAAGTTCCATGATGGATCCTCCTCAAATGGATCCAAAGGTAAAGCTAGTTCTACCAGTCCTTTATTTGACCGTAAAGAAGCAATGTGCTTCTACTGTCACGAGAAAGGGAATTGGAAACGAAGTTGCCCGAAATACTTGCAGGACATCGAGGATGGGAAGATAAAACCCTCCTTTACAGGTATTTACACTATTCAATCTAATAACTCATCACATGCTAGTCTTGGGTCTTTGATACAGGATATGGTTTTCACTTTTGTTCTGATTTGCAAGGGGCTAAGAAGAAGTAGGGATGTGGAGCATGGGAAGATGAACCTGATAATGGGGAATAGGAAATCGTCGCCTGTCACCGGAGATCGAGATTTATCTTTAGTGCTTAGTAGTGGGTTAGGATTAGACTTAATGATGTTTGTGCTACTCGTCAGAGATTACAAGGAATATTATTTCTTTCATTTTTTTTACAAATAAGGTTTTAGATTTCATTAATAATGAAATTGTTCTATTAATTCTTTCTATAATGATACTTTATATTTTGTAGCATTACCTTGTAATGGTGTATATGAAATTGTGATGGTTGTAGAGAACTTAGGAAATAATGTGTTGCATATCGATTCATCTAATGGTTTAGAAAAGGCATGCTTATGGAATTGTCGTCTTGGACATGTCAACAAGAAGCGCATAGCCCAACTCCAAAGGATGGAGTCCTTGGAGTCAGTTGACCTAAAGTCGATGACACGTGCGAATCTTGTTTTCTTGAAAGATAACTAAATCACCTTTCACTAGTACATTGTGAAAGAGGTGAGGGATTGTTGGATCTCATACACAACGATGTGTGTGGGCCCTTCAGATCCACCACAAGGGATGCTAACCGCTTCTATGTTATGTTCACCGACGATTATAGCAGATATGGGTATATCTACTTAATCAAGCACAAGTCGAAAACCTTTGAAAAGTTCAAAGAGTTTAAACAAGAAGTGGAGAATCATTAGGCAGGAAGATAAATGGTCAGATTCGATAGGGGTGGTGAGTATCTTTGTATCGAGTTCCACGACTATCTTAAGTAATGTGGAATTGTTTCACAATTGACGCTACTTAGGACACCGAGCTCAATGGTGTGGCCGAGAGGCGTAATCGAACCTTGTTGGACATGTTCGTTCCATGAGTCGAGCTTCGTTACCTATCTCATTTTGGGGTATGCCTTAGAGATTGCGCCCATATCCTTAATCTAGTCCCAACTAAGAAGGTTGCCAAAACACCTCACGAGATGTGGACAGGGAGGTTCCCTCGTCGACACATCAAGGTTTGGGTTGTGAGGCATTTGTAAGACGAGAGACTCACGACAACCTTGAACCTCGTAGTGAGCAGTGTATATTCATCGGCTACCTGCATAAATCTTTTGGATAATTTCTACAGACCTAGTGACAACGTGGTCTTTGTGGCAAGGAGAGGGTTTTCTGTGAGAGAACTCATATGCCAAGGGGACAGTGGGAGGCAAATTAATCTTGAAGAGCTTCAAGAGTCGAGCGATGAAGGAACCTCTAACACTAGCACTCAACTCAGGAAGAGATTCCTGTTTAACCAATTAACGAGTCCTTACCTCTAAGACATTCCAGTAGATTTAGTGTTCCACCTGTGTTGTATGGTTTTCCATATAACGGCTGAAGGTGATACGTTTATCGGTGATAGTACACTGATAAATTTGGATGAACCTAGCAACTACAAGGAAGCCATGGCGGGCCCGGAGTCCCGGCAAAATAGAAAGAGGCTATGGACAGCGAGATTCGTCCATGTATGACAATCAAATTTGAACTTGGTTGACAATGTGTCGGGTCGTAAGACAGTCGGGTGCAAGTGGATCTTCAAGAAGAAGACTGACATGGATGGGAAAGTGCATACGTTCAAGGCACGATTGTTGCGAAGGGCTTTACTCAACCCCAGGGGTTGACTATGATGAGACCTTCTCACCAGTGGCCAAGATCAAATCTATTAGGTTATGTTGGCTATCGCTGCGTTTCATGATTATGAAATTTGGCAGATGGATGTCAAAACCGCTCTTCTTCATGGGAAGTTTGCTGAAGATGTTTACATGTGTCAGCCAGAAGGTTTTGTAGATGCTAAATACCCCAAGAGAGTATGCAAGCTTGAGAAATCCATTTATGGATTGAAACAAGTGTCTCGCAGATGGAATCTTTGTTTCGATGAGAAAGTCAAAGAGTTTGGATTTTCGAGAAGCGAGGATGAGTCCTGAGTGTATGTCAAGACTAGTGGGAGTATAGTTAGCTTTCTAGTTGTGTATGTTGATAACATACTGCTCATAGGAAACGACATCCCGACCTTGCAGGAGGTTATGTCTTGGCTTGGAAGTGTTTCGCTATAAAGGATCTAGGAGAAGCTGCTTATATTCTGGGATAAGGATATTGAGAAACAAAAGTAGGAGACTAATAGGACTTAATCAAAGTACTTACTTGGACAAGTGTCGAAATGTTTTAGCATGGAGAATTCCAATAAAGGGGAACTGCCAATTCAAGCAATACCAAACTGAGTAAGACTCAGAGTCCGAGTACCGATCCGAGATAGCGGAAATGAGTCTAGTGCCATATGCTTCCGCCGTTGGCTCGATCATGTACGTTATCACATGTACTCGCTCTGATGTGGCTTTTGTGTTGAGCATGGTTAGCCGATATCAATGGAACCAGGGTAGAACTCATTGGAAGCAGTTAAGAACATTCTTAAGTACCTACGAAGACCAAGGACTGGGTCCTTACACTTGGTGGAGTGATGACTTGAGAGTGACAGGGTATAGTGATGCCAGCTTTGCAGACCGACAAGATAACTTCCGCTCTCAGTCAGTCTGGGTATTACCCTAAATAGAGGAGCGATTAAAGAGTTCAAGCAGGAGACCGTGGTTGATTCAATGTGTGAATCAGAGTACATAGTAGCGAGCGAAGCACCGAAGGAGGAAATATGGTTGAAGAACTTCATTGGAGACCTTGGAGTTGTACCAGCCATAAAGGAGCCTATGGAGATTTTCTGTGATAAAACGAAGCAGCGGTTGTCCGTAACCAAGGAACCTAAGGGATCATGGTATATCTAGACACTTGACAGAAAATACCACTTCATCAGACATCAGGTTGAATAGGGACTCTTCGTAGTCAAGAGGGTAACGTTAGAAGAGAACCAGCAGATCCCCTCACAAAGGGTCTGAGCAGGGTTAAGCACTTACATCATGCGAGGAGCATTGGTCTGAAGGACGATATTAGTTTTAGTGATTAGATAGTTGTTTAGAAACTTGTAATATATAAATGTAACTGTCATTTGATGATTAAATAAAGGAGTTTTTTATTATGAGTAAAGTTTACTATCTTGTGTCAATTGTTTACTATTGTTTCACTTTTGCATGTTTTACTTCCAGAATAATTTAGATTACTTCAAATTATCCACAGTCGATCATACTTGGGAGTAAGTTATGAGGTTGGACTGTCATGAATTGGTTTGTAGATTGTCTAAATGTTTAGACATAGCAAAAGTTTGCTGCGACGTTCGTGAGTGCGCTTAAAATAAGATTTGAGTATTGGATTAAACCCACACTCATATGAATCACTTCATGGAATTTATCACGAGTGATTGTCAGACGATAATATCGTATAATCTTTAAACCGAGATATATGATTTGTTGTTTACAACTCAGTTGTGCATTGATAATACGTAAACGCATCAGTAACTTGATGTTATAAAACGTGTTGTTGTATATGATTTGATGATAAATAGTACAAACATATCAGTCAATTTTATCTGTTCCATTTATCCTAAGAGGTAAAGTGATATCTTGTTGCCCCTCGATGATTTTGTGTTGACTTATGTGTCGGGCCTATTCAGGACTGAATTGATGTGTTCAATTAAGTTCTATGTCAAATAAATCATAATTCTGGAACACTGTTGGACATTGAAATGATTATTTTCCATGTCTTTGTTCTACACGATATCTGCAAAATGGAGGATTATATGATCACTTATCTAAAGGACGCGTCATTGACTAGTCAGAGTTCGACATCGGCTTTTGAGAGCTACGATTGCTTATCGGATTTTGAAGTCGTACTTGCAGTTATAGTTATTAGACTTATCCAAGTGGGAGACTATTGGATAAGGTGTCTAACCCATAACTATAATTGGTATGTACTTGACCCATAGTAGCATGGTCCTTTTGGGTTGCCTTCACCATAATAGCAACTAGATAGAAGAATTATGAGAAGA